CAAATGGGGCCGTGTCTCCTTCAATTTCTCGTCGAATCGGTCCAAAAATTCACTGTAGTACTGCTCCGTGATCATGCTTCCTTTCTCCAAAAAATCCATGAGAATTGTTCCCTTCGAATTTCAAAAAATCGTAGCCATGACCTTTCCGGCCGATGGGACCATCTTTGCCTTCTTCAGAGCAAATTCACCCGGGAAAGTCCATTGTTTTGACTGTTGTTGCTTGGTCTCTGACGTATAGTGATGGATCCAGGTTCACCAACGGTAATGACTCGACGCAAAAATTCCTGCGGATTTCATTTAAAGAGATTCAAACACTGCTTCGAAATCGACAGCCGCTTGTTGTTCACCGTGAGCACTCGCGGCACCCACCGGGCTGATAGTTTTCTCATTCTTAATTTATTATGTAAAATATTAATTGCCGTTCCGTACAACACGCCTACGGCCTCTGCTTCGTGCACTTTCGTTCGGCGATCAGCGAGAATCATGTCGTGGACCTTTTCAACGATTTCCTCAGTAATCACGTCTGCCGGGAGGCTTGGGCGCTCCTCATCAAAAACAAATGTACGGCCACATTTGAATTCATTGAACCAATATCTCACAGTTGTCATAGATGGTAAAGGGTCCCCATAGACAGCATCCAACTTCGCTTTTATTTCTTCGCATGTTTTTCCATTCAAAAATAAAAAGCGAATTATGGATTGATATTGTTCTTTTTCCATTGTATCGAAAAACACCAAACACGTTTAATATAATGGCTGTCAAATCAAAACTATGAATCAGTCTGAATTTTGTATGGCGCGTTTGAAGGATGGTAGTACACGATGGTAATGCCAACTTCCTTTAACAACGCCATCTGTCTCCAAACATGGGTACTTATTGATCCACCCTCGTATGTTGCTTGTAACGTACATGTTATGGCTGCGTTCCGAAATTCACTGCCAGTACTGAAAATACACAGATTGTGTCACGTATACTATAGAATTTCAGCACTGGCAGTGAATATCGGAACGCAGCCTATATTACGTCTTAGGCCCCTTGCATAATGCCAGGCAACAAGTAATAAGAATAAAAATAGACCAATTACAATCGACTATTACAAGAATAATCTATTGTGATTGGTCTATTTTTATTCCTATTGCCTGTTGCCTGACATTGTGCGAGGGGCTTTACATTTCGTTACATTACGACAATGTAACTGTTATGCAACTATGTTTACTGGGTTGTTACGTTATCACTCGCAATTATATTAGAATCTCATTTATTTATATCTAAAAATCTACGTGGTTATTGGCGAAATGATAGAGAACCTTTTTGTTAAGTTTCATCTAATGTACAATCACATGACGGCAGACATTGCTATCATAGCTTATCTACTGTATCGTATATCATCATTCATAGATATTTTTAAATTAATATATTGACGATTGTTGCACAAATGTCTCAAAATAGTATAATATTTAACAACGAAAAATGTAAAAATCAATAAAAATATTTAAAGTAAAAAAATCAATAAAAATATTTAAAGTAAAGAAATCAATAAAAATATTTAAAGATAAATATCTCTCTATATATTATATATTCAATTTATTATACTTTCTTTCAATTAATATTCTTTCTTAAAGCAACCTGTCTTATAATTATATTATAGAATTAAAGAAGAAGTATCGAAAATAATTATTTTAAACCTTATTTTTAAATAATGGTATATTTTTGAAAATCTGTAACAAATCATAGTAAAGAGTTACTTAACAAAAATAATGGTAATAATAATGCGTTACTTACTGTTAAAAAATAACTTTTCTAATTCTATATAAGACTATGTATACATATATTTATCTATATATAGTATGAATTATTTTACGTTACTCGAATAACTTTCTTATTGATTGTAGAAACTAATGTTTTAGAAAAAAATTATATGGTTTCAAGGGGGACATAAAACAACTATATCATTTTATTTACAGATGGTGCCACTTTCGAAATACTCACTAATCATTACTTTTCTTAAATGGAAACTCAAATTTTTTATTATATCATCTTCTTCTACAAATTAATTTTAACAATTTTGTTTAAAATATTTTTTTATTTGCCAAATATTTTTTGAAATATTTAAAGAAAACTATGGTAACGTTTCGACATTTAACTTAGGGTATCTCGCTAACTATTTGTCGAAAGAAAAAATAGTATTAGACTTCTTTACTCTATTTAGTCTTAAGAATATATTATTACAATAGTGTCCTAATTTTTGTTAACTTATCGACCTTTGGAAATTTCAAAATCATCAAATTAACCATCAATTAACCATCAATTAATCATCAGTTAAAAGCCAGGCCGCTATTGTAATACTATATTCTTGAGACCAAGTAGAACAAAAGTCTAGTACCACTTTTTCTTCCGACAAATAGCAAGATATCGTAAGTTAAATATTAAAAAAGTTACCAAGTTTTCTTTAAATATTTCCAAAAATATTAGGCAATTAAAAAAATATTTCACATAAAAGTTGTTCAAATTAATAGGTAGAAAAAGAAGATATTACAACTTTGCTTCCGCCGTTTTCCTATAGATGGCTTTAGCGGTAAATAGTGGTCGAAATAAATAGATCATAGACGTCATGCAATAAACTTGGGCATTTGTCAACATAACCCCATAGAAACATTAGTCGATTTGTGTCTGCATCATAAAGTTATTCTCGATTGAAAATGTCAGTTTACGAGCCAAATTCTCGTCATTTGCGGGAGGTTTTAATTTTCTGCTACAATATGAAGAAATCTGCGGCTGAGGCTCATCGAATGCTCTCAAATATTTATAGTAAGGCCGCTATTAGTGAAAGAAAGTGTCGTGAGTGGTTTCAACGCTTTAAGAACGGTGATTTTCACGTCGAAGACCGGCATAGCGGTGGAAGAGAGAAGGTTTTCGAAGATGCAGAATTGGAGGCATTACTTAATGAAGACTCGTGTCAAAGTCAAGAAGAATTGGCACGATCATTGGGAGTGACTCAACAAGCAATTTCAAAACGCCTCAAAGACATGGGAATGATTCAGAAGCAAGGAAATTGGGTGCCGTACGAGTTGAAACCGAGAGATGTTGAACGGCGTTTGTTTGCTTGTGAACAATTGCTTGAAAGGCAAAGACGGAAGGGATTTCTGCATCGCATTGTGACTGGGGACGAAAAAGTATGTTCATTACGATAACGCCAAGCGCAGAAAATTATGGGCATATCCCGGCCATGCTTCCACGTCGACGGCCAAACCGAATATTCACGGCTTCAAGGTCATGCTCTGTATTTGATGGGACCAGCTCGGCGTAGTGTATTATGAACTGTTAAAACCGACTGAAACAATCACAGGCGATTGTTATCGAACGCAATTAATGCGTTTGAGCCGAGCATTGAAAGACAAACGGCCGCAATATAACGAGAGACATGATAAAGTGATTTTGCAGCATGACAATGCTCGATCCCATGTTGTGAAAGTGGTCAAGACATACTTGGAAACGTTGAAATGGGAAGTCCTATCCCACCCGCCGTATTCTCCAGACGTTACTCCCTCTGACTATCACTTATTTCGATCAATGGCACACAGCCTGGTTGACCAGCACTTCCAGTCTTATGAAGAAGTAAGAAATTGGATCAATTCGTGAATCGCTTCAAAAGATGACCAGTTTTTTCAACGCGGGATTCGTAAGTTGCCCGAAAGATGGGAGAAAGTAATGGCCAGCGATGGATAATATTTTGAATCATAAATATATAACCAGTTTTTTACAATAAAGCCTCGAATTTCGGAAAAAAACGGCGGAAGCAAAGTTGTACACCTAATATAATAAAAGAATGAAGTTTCCGTTTAAGAAAAATAATAATCAGTGAATATCTCGAAAGTGATGCTATTTGTAAACAAAATAATTTAGTTATTCTATGTCCCCCTTGAAACCATACAACTTTTGTCTAAAATATTTTTTTCTGAAATGTTTAGTTTTCAAGATAGAGCAGTTGTAAAATTTTAGAATAAAATTTGAAACGTCCGAATTAAGAGATGTGAATACATCACAGAAAACTGAATTGCTTATATTATAATAATATTATGGTGATATATCACTGTGACAATATTACTGTGATATATTATCACAATATTACTATAGTATATCACGATAATATTACTGTGATACATTTCGCCGGACATTTTAATATTACTTTAATATTACTGTAATAATGTAGTAATATTTGTACTGTATTACGTTGTGATATTGCAATGGAGAAGTAATATTATTGTGATATTGCTGTAACATTATGTGCTATGTGAGCTATAACATTTTGTTTAGTTTTTTGTATAATCTAAAAAGAAAATGAAATATCCTAAGTTGAAGTTGGCTCTTATGTAAGACAGAAACGATAATAAAATAAAAAAACAGTACATGTAAAACAAAAATGATAACAGAAATGATAGCAAAATAGAGTATGATATATAGAGTATATAAAACATAGAGAGTATGTAAAAAACATGTATGTGTTATATATAGAGTATATATAATATATACAATATGTAAAAAATTATATTACTAAGAACTACGCGTTATCAAATAAAAGAGCGGATCATTTATTTACGTGAGGCTGCGAAACGCGGACGAATTTCAGCCCAGTCACAGTAGTATATTCCGTACGTAAAGTCAGGCATGCGCGCTCGTAGGGCGGCGCGCGACAGTGAAAGAGCTTGAGAGCAAAATTCATGTTTCAGTCTGTCGCGTATGTTGCTAGGTCGCGCATACATACCGTTCACTGCACTCAGCTTGGTTCGTTTGGTGCTCGATCAAGGGTGTTATGGTGTCATGAGCTGTGGTGACCAAATGAGTGAGTGAGTGAGTGAGTGATAGAGAGAGAGAGAGAGAGAGAGAGAGAGAGAGAGAGAGAGAGAGAGAGAAGGAGAGAGAGGGGGAGAGGGGGAGAGAGAGAGAGAGAGAGAGAGAGAAAAAGAGAGTGAGAAGGGGGTAAGAAAAGAAGAGAGGGAGAGAGATAGAGGAAGAAAGAGGGAGAGGAAGAGAAAGAGAGAAGAGGGAGAATAAAGCGCGTGCGAGAACCACATATAATACATAACCGAGAGCACCGGCAGTGTAAATCACCCCTCACGACCAAAAGGACCGCGAAGACGTCACAACGAAGCCTCGTGCGATGTTGTCACTCGCGAATTGCTGTTGGTGTCTTAAACCTAAAACCTTGTGAGATTCTTATCTGTTTGTTCGCTGATGTAACATTGAATTTCGTGAATGTACGAACTTGTCGAATATCACCAAAATCCTCGAATTGCGAGATTACAACACAAACACATCAGAATTCTTAAATGACATGACATACAAGAGTCATTCATACGCGTAACTTACGTTGATTCGCGAAAAATTGCAACATATATTTAATATATATAATATTCATCATTCTACGAAAGAAATCTACGTGCTGAATGAGGCGATAAGTCGCGTTATATCCACTTTCTTCAACGGTGCGACAGCACGATCGTGTTCATGATCGACTCGGTTCTAATGTTGATGAATGGAATTTTAATCTTACGGAAAAAGTTCTCATTATATTACTATGCTCTATTAGAACATGTTACGTGAATTTTTAAAGAGCATATGAAAAGATCGAACATACTCCAATACCCAAGAGATGAATATACTGTCAAGCTGAGAGAACGATAAGCTTATTATCAGTCAGCTTTAAGTGAGCCGAGATTGATCGTGTAAAAATAACCGGTGTATGACAGAAAAAAAGAAAAAAAAAGAAAGAAAAGAGAATCTCATAGCGAGAATGTACATAAAGTGTACTTCAGCGATTATCGGTGTACAATTCGTAATCGCGAAGACCGCCTTCTTGGGGATAAATTTCGATGTATTTTATATGGTCGCTTACCTCGACTACTAAAAATGTACGCGGAAGTTATCATTGTACCGGGTGATTGGCGAGCGGATTGTTTGTAATAAGATCAGATGATGACGGATTCGCCGACACCTTCGACCAGCAGACATCACGACGATAAATACGACAAGCCTGAGAAACCCGATAAGGCAGTGTTATTGGTAAGTGAATTAGCGTTAATGAGCGGATCGTATCACAAGATTACTCAATTAATATAAATTTAACGAGCTTTTCGTACGCTTATAATTATTGTTTATGTTGTCGCACCGTTGAAATTTTCGAGATTATGTGCGATATATTTTTTTTCAGACGCCTCATGTAGGTTAAAAAAAAGAAGTTTACATTTCCTGTTTTTGTGGAGCATGCTATGAATGCGCGTATAAAATGATTGATGTAAAGAAATTATTACCTGCAATTAAATCTTAATACGTATGAGCAAAAAGATTATATAAATAATCGCAGTTGTAATCGGAAAGTGATTATTGTAGCAGTATTTTTTAATGTTCATATTTTGTCGTATGTGAATCAGATTCGACATTAATTACTTGTGATATGATTGACTTTAATAAATTATCAGCGATTCACAATCATTATGTGTTGCTAAAATTATTTAATATTCTTCGAAATTTCGCATAAATATCAAGTTTCTTATATATATTGCAACCATTTTATTATTTGCCATCTAAACATAAACAAGGAAAATTGTTTGAATAAAAGACAAAATATAATAATAACGAATAATGAAAACAATATACATACGTGGATTTCGACGACGTATTTCATGTTGAGACACATCCAGCATTTCCGCAATTTCTGAAATTAATCAATGAAGTCGATTGCTGAATATCACACTTTTGTATTTCAGCAAATTCAAGACATAAACAGTCAAGTAGCACAGTTTCGAGATTTGCTCATTAATATCGGACAATCGCGCGATTGTCCGGAGTTACGCGAAAAAATACGAAAAATGCGTCGTAACTGTGTGGAGACTTGCAAACATACCTCTCAACTGGTACTGCCACATGTGCGAAGGTGAGTTGTAGCCAAGAAATCCGGAATTTTAAAACTTTTGCAAATATCTTTGAAGACATCAGGATGAGTAATAAATTAGGATGGATATAAGTAAAGTTCAATGCGCAATTATAAAAGAATCAAATTTCAAATAACCGTAGTTTCTCCTAAGAGCAGTATTATAAAAGAATCAAATTTTAAGTAACTATAGTTTCTTCTATAAGTGCGGTATCTTAGTTTTATGTAATTCGTATTCGAATGTATTAATTAGCTCGCCGGTCTTAAACAAGATACAAGAAATAAGATCGCCGTCTCTGTTCAAACACGATTCACATTTAATCAATACATTCGTCTTACAAGGAATATCCATGAAGTATATATCTTCGATTTCGAGGAAACGTGACATATTTGTAGAGTAGCCAAAAACAAGAGCCCCATTTTTTTATCGGCAATGGCTCAAGTTTAAGAGATGAAACTGCCCCTCATAATTTCATCCCCTTTATTCTATCTCTAATTATTGCAGATAGGAGAAAACTTTTTTAACAAAAATTTTGCGGTTTTTTATGCCGTACAATTTTTGCTGAAAAAGTTTTTTCCTATATGCAATAATCATCGAAATATCATAAAGAGGATGAAACTTTGGAAGGCAGTACCATCCCTTAAACCTGAGCCATTGCTGATAAAAAAATATGGGTCTCTTATTTTTGGCTACTCTACAAATATGCCAAGTTTCGTCAAAATTGGAGACTCACACGTCACGGCTGTTCCTTGTTAGTTTCAAATGAACGCATTTGAATATATAATCAAATGCATTAATTGTTCAACGAACTGGTCATCTTTTCCATGTCTAATGGGTATCACCACAATTAAATTAACGTACTCGGCCGTATATTTTTTTATCTCAGGGATGTTCTATATATCGTCTTAAAAATGTCGAGGCTACTCCGAAAATTTTTCGTAGTGATAATGAGAACTCGTGACCTATGCGGTCGCGAAAGTCGACGAGAGCAACACTTCTTTGCACCGACGAAGAAAAAGAGCGCATATGTAAAGCGCGGAATTAACGAGAAGAGTATCTCGTCGCTGCATATAGGACAAGGTTTCGCTATCTTAAACTCCGGATTGAACTTAGTTTACAACGAAAGAGAGAGAGAGAGAGAGAGAGAGAGAGAAGCAAGGGGAGAAAACTTTTGTCCGATTTGTTACATCGCTTCCGTCTTTTCCCTACATTTCGCACAATGCAGGTCAGAGAGACGAACAACTGTGCTCAAAGAATCATGGTCGTGGGAAGAACGTCACGTGCTATCATACCGAGTACTTCCAATAACTTTCAGTCCATTCAAAGTTTACAAAGTGCGTCGTGTGTTCTTTATCGCTGGTTAACGCAGTATTTCCATTCGAGATTTTTTATTAACTTAGCAATCTTTCGACAGCTTTGCCGACTAAAATAAAAACTAAAGAAAATCACTAAAGAAAATCTTCATATATGGCTGAATTATGTGTATTAATATTTTCAGTAAAATTAAAACGTTGCTGGTAGATGTTGACGGCATTCTTTTTTTCAAATACGTTACGTCGGATTTGTGTATGTGATTTTATATTGATTCATTACATTGAGTTATTTCTCACTATTTGCGAAAATGTCTTTATATTCTAATTTCGGGGTGACAACTACGTTATACAGGATATCCCATTTTAACATTCGCCCTAAAAAGTCTCGAAAACTATGAAATATATTAAAAAAAGCTAAAATACGTTTTCCATGATTTCGAAGGGGGAAGAGAATGGCATTATCAGTTTTTTATTTGGAGGGCATTTTCAAGGTCAGTTGAAGGTCAACTTAATTTTTTAAAATAGAAAGCCCAATTTTTTATATCTTCTTTTTCTACCAACTAATATGAACAACTTTTGTCTGAAACAACTTTTGTCTGAAAACAACTTTTGTCTGAAACAGTTTTTGTCTGAAATATTTTTTTATTTGCTTAATATATTTTGAGATATTTAGGGAAAACTTGGTAATTTTTCGAACACTTACCCTACGATATCTCGCTATCTATTCGTCGAAAGAAAAAATAGTATTAGACTATTTTACTTCATTTACTATCAAGAATATACTACTATAATAGCGCTCTAACTTTTATTAATTTAATAATTTTGAAAATTCCAAAGGTCGATAAGTTAATAAAAGTTAGGGCACTGTTATAGTAATATATTCTTGATAGTAAATGAAGTAAAAAAGTCTAACACTATTTTTTCTTTCGACGAGTAGTTAGTGAGATATCGTAAGGTAAATGTTGGAAAAGTTATCAAATTTTCCTTAAATATCTCAAAATAAATTAAGCAAATAAAAAAATGTTTAAGACAAAAGTTGTTTAAATTGATTGGTAGAAAAGGATGATATAATAAAAAAACTGGGATTTCCATTTAAAAAAGTTGATAATCAGTGAATATCTCGAAAGTGGTGCCATCTATAAACAAAATGCTATCGCTGTCCTATATCCCCCTTCAAGCTAAACAACTTTTGTCTTAAGCATTTTTCGATTTAACGCAATGTTTTTGAGATATTTGAATGAATCCTTTAAAATGGGATATTATCTATATATGATAGCCCTCTTCGTACCATATAATTTTGGTTACACAAATCTTCCTCTGGGTCTTATAGATTCGAAGATATTTAAGGTCCTAATAGTTATTGCCCTAACCTGTATACAGAGTGTACCAAAAGCCTGAAAACGGTCGAATATTTCATAAACTATGCATTTTAGAAAGAAATGTTTTAGACAAAGGTTGTTTGGTTCGAGGGGGATATAAGATGGTATCATTGGATTGACCTTAAATAAACGTTCCAAGGTCATACGGAATTCAACTTTGTTTTTTTAAATAGAACCCCCCACTTTTCATTACATATTCTTATAGCTTATCTCAAGAGCTTCCCAAAACATTATAAATAAGTTATGTTTTATTGAGTATTTTCCAAGTTATGGGGCTTGAAAGTTACAATATTGCCGGCATTAGCCAAGATGTATCACGTGGAGGTTGCACGATCGGATTTATCGCAAAACCTCTTGTATATGTGTGTGTCACAGCAGAGATAAGGACCTCACAGTTCGTCACTCCCGTAATATTTAATGACTCCAAACCCTCTCTGCTGTGTGTGTACGTATGTATGTGCGCGCGTGCGTGCGTATGTGCGTGTGTGCGTGCGTATGTATATGTTTGTGTAGGGGTGTGTGGTTTAGTTGAGTAAGTGTTCAAATTGACTTCCGTCTGCTGTTTGACAATGGCCGCCTAGCCGTAGATAAAAATTATTTAAAACATTTCGTCTCATCTCTGCCAAGATAAGATCGACCTGTATTATACGTGTTATACTTGTATTATACTATGTATTATACGTTCCCTAACAAGGTTGACAAGGTTGGCAGGTTTTGTTTCGCATACATTGTTTTTAAGATATCCCCAAAAAAAATAATCGGCAGAAGAAAGATTTGGTGATCTAGCAGGCCACTTTATTTGACCACGTCTTCCTATCCATCGATTTGGAAAAGTATTATCCAAAAATTGCCGTACTGCTACTGCATAGTGTGGGCCTGCACCATCTTGTTGGAAATATTTTCTATGTTCCCATCAAACATATTTTTAAGAGCGGGTATGACTTTATTTTGCAGTAGCTCCTGATAGATCGCCACGTTCAAATTCCCATTAATGAAGAATGGTCCGACAATACTACGTTCGCAAAAATCCGCTCAAACGTTAAGTTTTTGGGGATACTGCGTGCGGGTACGTATCCAGTGAGGATTTTCATCACTCTAATATCGGCAATTATACCGATTTATCGCTCCATTCAATTCAAAAAAAGCTTCGTCGGAAAAAATTATGTGATCGAAAAAGTTATTATTATCATCGTATCGACACATCATTTCGTCGCATAATTCATTTTTTCGATCAAAATCATCTTCCGATAGCTCCTGAGTGATTTTAATTTTGAAAGGATGCAATTTTTTTTTCACTAAAATACGATGAATGGACATTGTACTAATCTCATGCGCCTGTGCTGCCTTCCTCAAAGTAGGATGAGGATTTCCGACGAATGTTTGTATCACTTCGAAACTCTTATCCAAGTTTGTCGCTAATTTTGGTCTACCAGTACGTTGTCGGTCCTTGACGGATCTTGTTTCATCAAATCGTCTAACCATTTTCTGGACTGTAGACTTGGAAATCGGTTCACGATCTGGATAAGTATTGTTAAATAAAGCAGCTACTTATTTATAGGATCTAACGCGGTCACCATATCCTCGCATCATCAGTAAAGTAATTCTTTCTCTTTTAGACAATACTATTCTGGATGCCATTGAATTTTCACTCAGTTGCTTGATAGTATGTCGTAATACGAAGAGCTGAATGTATCCAGAATAGAAAAACGTTCAACTACAGGTCAAATCAGAACGATTAATGTAACATGACTTTTATTAGAAAAGAATGAAAAGTATAATAATTTCGATATTTGAATCTTCCCCTAGTCTACGGTCCACATTCGTTGAATCTTTTGTCGATTCTTTTCAGAAAGAATTACTGCGAATGATGCGAGGATATGGTGACCACGTTAGATCCTTTGAACAAGTAGCTCCTTATCTCTGCTGTGACACACACGTACATACACATACACACACACACACACACACACACAAGAGGTCTAAATCCGATCGTGCAACCTCCACGTGATACATCTTGGCTAATGCCGGCAGTATTGTAACTTTCAAGCCCCATAACTCGGAAAATACTTAATAAAACATAACTTATTTATATTGTTGGGAAGCTCTTGAGATAAGCTATAAGAATATGCAATGAAAAATGGGGGGTTCTATTAGAAAAAACAAAGTTGAATTCTGTATGACTTTGGAACGTTTACTCAAGGTTAATCCAACGATACCATCTTATGTCTCCCTCGAACTACTTTTGTCTAAAACATTTCTTTCTAAAATGCATAGTTTATGAAATATTCGACCGTTTCCAGACTATTGGTA